TGTTGCCCAGGCTGGTCTTGAACTACCAGCCTCAAGGTGTCTTCCCAACTCAGCCTCCCAAAGTTCTGGGATTACAGGCGTGAACTACCACACCTGGCCTCCTAGATATTTTCAAAGCGGGTGGTTTCACGTCTGAGCAGAAAGACCACGCACTGCTCCTTCCTACTGGCCTCCCTCCTGAAGCACAGACCTCCAAAAGCCCAGAGACAGGTCTTACCTCTTTGGCAGCCACTGGACTGTGGCCATGGCCCTGGCCAGTCCTTGGTCCAGTCCTGTCTGCTCCTTGGAGCTGGGCTGGCTCGTGGGCACGATTTCTGCTGAGGAGGAAGGGCTCATGTCTGTTGTTGAGTTGGCAGCCATGGGAACAAGCTGGTCAGGATTGGTTGTCACCCAGGACTGGTTGTCACCCAAGTCCACGTGAGAAGCTCACAGAGTCCTGTTCCACTAGCAAGGGGAGTGGCCACACTTCCAGGCTCCCGTCTGCCAAGAAATGTGGTGCCTCCAGACCATCAGCCCCCAACGCTTCCCTGACAAGCCTCAGCTGGTCTCCTTCTCTCCAGCGCCTCTCCTCCCCACACCTCCCAGCAGGCTCCCCTCCCTTCCCTGGGGGACATCAGCACCAGCGTTCTGAGACTCAGGGCATTCCAAGACAAGCATCCAACTCTGAAAGACGACGTTGCACATTGCAGGTCTCCATACGCAAGCTTGGTGGTCTCATGCCCAAGCCTGGTGGCCTTCTCTGCATGTGGACATGCAGGACCCACTCTTGGGGCTTGGACTCTCTGACCCCAAATTTCCTTCAGCTTCCTTCGGCGTGTTCATCTGTGTAGAAATGCCTACTACTGGCCTCTTTTCCAGAATATTCTGTTTCGTGTTGTACTACGGCTAGGACAGGGCAACAAATTCCATAATACATTGACCAGTCTTCAGCACAGGATGTGGTCAGAAAAACACCAGAAACAGGCCAGGCACAGGGGTCATGCCTGTAATCCCAGCACTTTGGGAGGC